GTGGCAGTCTCCTATCCTTTTCCTATGTGAAATATAGACTTAGGTTGTATTGCAGAAGCTGGAGAGGGCAGCTGAGCTGTCTGCTTAGGGAAAAGAGGAGGGCAGGATTTGGGGGATTATTCTGTGTTTGACTTGCTCCCATTTGCAGCTTGGAGAGCTCCTGAAACCTGATTTGCTACTCATTGACCAGAAGCAGTCACCTGCCTGTGTAAGCCAAATTCTACTTGAATTGTGTGCTTGTTATTTTGGGATTCCAGAACCAGGAGCTCATCACTGATGTAAACCATGATCAAGAAAGAAACTGCCCAAGCTTCCCTTGCCGGGGGCTGCTGGGGCTTCTTCTGCAGGGGCTATCATCATTAACCCAGTATCTCCCTACCGCTGGTGGAAGCCTCCCTAGCAAAGGAGTGCTGAGGAGCATCCACATGCTCCTTCACCTATCAAGCCAGCTCCTGCGCCCTTTGATCAGCCCCGTTTGAAGTCAGCAGCATGTGGGATTTGGCTGCGAGGCTCCCTGGTGATGCCCTGGTGCTGGGAACACTGAGCTGGAAGTAGGCAGGGTCCTGGGAGAGCCGGTGTGGTGCTGCTGGGATGGGGATGAGCTGGGAGAAGGATGCTGGAGCAGGGAGGGCTTCAGCTTCACAGTCCACTTAATGGTGAGGGGATGGGGTGGCTGGAGCAGAGCTGCAAGAGGCTCCAGCAACAGGGAAACTCATTTTAGGTCAGCCAGGCACAAGGGCTTTGCCTCCCCCCAAGCCTCAGAACATGGGCCATGGCCAGGGAAGATGAAAGGTAATATAAAAGCATTTCTGGTCTCTGCAGCACATTGCAAGCAGCAGTAGGCTGCTTTCAAGTCAATTGTTTCAAAGCATATCTTTAAATGAATTAATAATTCGAAGCAGCTGCCATCTTGTTAATATAATGAAGCAGTGGCCTAAGAGCTCCCTGTGTCTGAGAGACTGAAATGAGAATTAATGCTGGCCTTTCTCTGGTGTTGGACAAGCCACAAAAGGTTCGGTTGTGGGAAGTATCTTGTGCTTTGCTGGAGTACACTCAGTTCTCTTGGGCTGTATTGGAGCTCAGGGCATTAATCTCCCTGTGTGACAGTCCTGCGTTTGTTACAGATGACAGCACTCACTTCCCTATCTCTGCGTCTGCAGAGAGGTGGCTGTGCTGTCACTGCTTGGAGATGCTGGCAATGTGCTTGGTGCTGCATGAAGGTGCTTGAAGGCAACTGTGCATTGTGTCAACGTGTAAAGGTTTGTCCTTTGGCATCCAGCTGTGACCTGAGTGCTCCTGCTGAGCAGGGGTACCCAGGGTGGATGACGAAGCAGAGTCACATGGAGGAGGCTGGAAGGATGCTGTTGGGGATCTAGGCTTTTAGCAAAAAAACCCACCCCCAAACCCAAAATCATAGAATGGTGTCCTGGGTTCAGCAGTAGCAGTCATTTTTCCCCTTCTTGGTAGCTGGTGCAGTGCAATGTTTTGACTTTCAGCTCGGGAACGGAGCTGATAACAAGCGATGTTTTGGTTTGGCCAAGGACTTTGTGAGCCTCATGCTCTGCCAGGGAGGAAGGGAAGCCAGGAGGAAGCAGAGACAGGACACCTGACCCAAACTGACCAAAGGGGTATTCCAAAAATCCCAGGATGTAGGGAATGGCTTTGGGCTGGGGGGAGGGAGATGATGTATTCTCTTCCCTTGTTATTCCCTTTATCATTATTATCATTGGTGGTAGCAGTAGTGATTTGTGTTATACCTTAGTTACTAAACTGTTCTTATCTCAACCTGTGGGAGTTGCATTCTTTTTGATTCTTCTCTCCGTCCCTCCGAGAGCAGGGGGAGGGCAAGAAAGGGGGGAAGTGAGCGAACGAGTTACCTGACTGGGTTTAAACTACGACAGATGGCTTGGGCTGGGAGGGACCTTGGAGATCATCAAGCTCCAAGCCCCAAGAAGGGAAAGGGAGGCCCCAGCTGCCAACAGGAGCAGTGGGTGCACCTTGGCACAAGTGCCTGGCCAGGGGTGGAAGCACCTTGGACTTGAGCAGTGGTTGGGCAGAGGGAGCTGTGGCTGCTGGGCTTTTGGGGAAGAGCACTCCAGGGTCTGGATGGTTCATAAGGGCTTTGTGTGCCTGAGGTACTGTGCTGGGACACTCCTGGAGCAAGGCTTCAGCTCCATGTGGCACTGTTTGTTCAGGGGGTGCTTCTGAAGAGCCCTGTAGCTGTTACTGACCTGTGGGTTCCTCAGCTCCTGGGCAGTGAGAGAGCCCTTACTGTGTGTGGATGGAATTCTGGCACATCAGGACAGGTGTTTCATTTCTCCTCCTTCCCTGTGGTTAGGATCAGGTCGCACTGACAGTCAGCCAGGCGGTACAGCAGTGTAACACACTGTGCACAGGCATTGATTTGATCTCTTCGCTCATCCTGCTCAATGAGCAAGCCTGGAGACAGGCCACAGCCCAAGCTTCAGTGGCTCCGTGGGCAGAAGGCTGCAGCCTCTGCTCAGCACAGTCAGAGGTGCCTGTGGGAATCCAGGCTTCCCTTGGAATTCAGTTTCCTGGCAGCAAACGGGATTGATTCATTACAGCATCTCAGCATGGCAGAGCCCGTGCCATAAACTGTGGTGGGGTTTGAGCACGCTTGGGAGCGCTGGGAACGATGCTGCACATCCGGGAAGGCTCTCCTTTATCAGGAGAGCTTTTCTGTCGACCTTTTTTGCCTGGTGTTTTGCTCTCTGGTTTGTCTTGGATCCCTGTGCGGGAGGCAGAGCAAACAGAGCAAGGCCTTTTCTTGCCCTGAGCATAAAACAGTCTAGCGAACACTGAGAGGAGGGTGGTTAATTAGTTGTATGTCAGCACATTTCATTTCTAAGGGCTTTGATCGTGGCATGGAATTGTGGATCTGTCGCCAAGTTTTGCTTCAAATGAATAAATAAACGATAAATGATCATTTGGCAGCAATGAACCTGCTGCACTCTGTTTGCATGTTTATGTGGTTTCCCTTTTCCCATCTGTTCCCTTCCTCCAGCTCTTCCTTGTGTGTCGGTTTTCAAGCACCCCTTGCCTGGCTGATGGCAGATCCCAGCCTGGCGGATCGGGATGCGCTTGCTCCAAGTGGAGACGTGAGAGCTGCCACCTCTGGCAACAAAATGGGAATTGAAGAACAGCTTCTGAATCTAAAACCATGGCTTTTGCTCTGGTAACCCCAGGAGCTGAACCAGGCGCTTTTCCCACGTGTTGGAGGAAAAGGCACTGAGGACGAGCATCCTTGTTTCCTCTGAATCCATCCATAGGGATGTGGTGCAGGAGAACAAGGAAAGGAAATAGCTAAAGGCAGAGAGAAGGGGAATGGAAAGACAAAACAGAGAATGCAGAAGTAGCACGGCTTGGGTGCCATGGCAGGTATTGCAAACAGGCATTAAAAAACCACAATGAGAGCCTGTGCTGTGCAGTTTTCCCTGTCTTTCTGCTCTCACTTCCCAGCCTGTTTTTCCTTCAGATCGATCTGTCCTGCTGGTTTTCCCTTTAGCAGGGGTGGTTTGTGATGAGGTTGGTGAGTCCCTGTTCCTCTCAGGTGAGTCACTGATCAACTGGCACAGATATTTCTGTAGATTTTTTGCTGTTTGGAGCAATGCCTGTTGTGAGTTTGATCCGGAGCCTCTTCCTTGAGGAAGAATTGGTGCAGATATGCACAATTTTAAAAGATGTCACAAAAGGTATTTACTTGCATCAGTGCTGTGAATGTTATAACCTGTAAGTAATGCTATGACATCGGTCACCCATGTCATACGTTGGTTTTGGTTGTTTATTAGGTGACTTCTACTCTTTTTGAGGTGGCACCAAGTGCACACGTGGTTGAAATAAAGCCCATTTCAAACACTTCTTTCTGTGAATCCTTCTGCAAGCAAAATTACCCTTGCAAATACGGTTGGGAATAATGACCCAAAAGCACTACAGATAATAAGTAAAAGGCCCCCATAGCAGTTAGAATTAATGCATTTTTTTTACAAGCTGGTGTCTGAGAGCACTTCTCTGTGGTCTCTGCCAGCCTCTGCGATAGGGCAGGTAGGTGAGCTCTGTGTTCCTGCTATTCTTTACCCTCTGCAGGAGGAGGAAGGAGGAGGAGAATGTCTTTGGGTCTTGTCTTTTCTTTTTGCTTCTCTTTTCCCCTCCCTTGCACCCGATTTCTCAAATTGCTGCATTCTTCACTCACAAGAGGAGAATTTGCTTTTTTCCTCAGCACTTGGGCTCAGTAAATGGCAACGTGGCATTTTACATTTCAGCACTTCCTTAAAGAGCTCCCTTGTGGTTGATGAATAAAGAAACTTTGTCATAAACTAAACCGCCTTTCCCTCCCCTCCATCGAGGCTGCTGCTTACTCAGGGAGCCTCAGACAGGGTTTGATGACAGAAGCCCAAAGTGCTGAGTCAGCAGCTGTAGAATTGCAGTCGCTCTGAAGGAGCCTCCTTTCCTTGCAGACTTCTTGTCTTCTGCTCTGTGTGTGTGCCCAGATTCTGGGCACGGAGCCACGCTCTGCCTTAATTGCAGCACAGATTAATGCAGGGCAGTGGGTTCCCCTCCTTTGCTGTGGGTCTCAGTTCAGACGTGAATATGACATTGATGCACAGCACATGGGAACGCAGAGTTGAGGAGGGAAGGGAGCAGGTTGGTGTTCAGAGTCTCACCAAAGGTAGGTCGCTTCAAAGCATGTTTTGGCCCTGCAGCAGGAGCAGCCTGGAGCTGTAGGAATAGAGGAATCTTCTCACTGGGATGTATGACAAATTGTGGTGTGGATGGTGGAACAGTCAGCTTGGCTCACCAGTTCTTTTGCTGGCATTTCAGCTGGTGAGCATAACAGAAGTAACCAGGCATCAGTGGCGGACAGCCCTCTGGAAATGTGAGGGAAATCTCCCCTGCCCTCTGCCCTGCAGTTTCCATATAGTACTTTGTTTCTGATGTGAATTAATAGCTGTTTTTCTTTCTCCCTTTTTCTTTGATTCCAGACAAACGATGCTGCAGGAAATACCTGGAACTGGCTTTACTTCATCCCTCTCATCATCATTGGCTCTTTCTTCATGCTCAACTTGGTGCTGGGCGTCTTATCAGGGTAAGACGACTAATGACTTGCTTGTCTCCACCTTGAAGGGAAGATGTGTTGGAATTAGCACTGTGGGCTGATGTAGCTGAAAAAGAGAAGTTGGGGCGCTACATCACACTGTACATTGTCTCCCTACACATATTTCCTACCCTGTCCCTTCCTTGCAGTGGGGTATTTCTAGAAGGCTGTAGAGCCACACATAGGGGATAAGCTGGTGAAAAATCATTGATTGAGATGATTCTTCCTTGTGAGGGTGCTGAGGCGCTGGCACAGGGTGCCCAGAGAAGCTGTGGCTGCCCCATCCCTGGCAGTGTTCAAGGCCAGGTTGGACACAGGGGCTTGGAGCAAGCTGCTCTAGTGGAAGGGGTCCCTGCCTGTGGCAGGGGTTGGAGCTGGAGGAGCTTTAAGGTCCCTTCCAACACAAACCATCATAAGATTCTATGATTCTGAATCCAGAACCCAGAGTTAAGTGAGCTCCCTGCCATTACAGTGACCTGACCCTGTGCAGCCAACACTTACTCCTGCATCTTCTTGAAAGCCCACCAGGATCCCACTGATGCTAGTATAAATATTTCAGTGCTGGAGCTAGACATCAAAGGGTTCATAGTACATTTGGTGTAGCTGAGCAGCATGGAGAAAGGCGAAACTCAAGCAGAAGGCAATGAAAATATGTCAGGGTTTTGGCTGGTTGCTTGGGGTTATTTTTGGTCATAGTGTTTGTTTGTTTGTAATCTCTGGCTGTTTAAGGCAATGTCTGGATTTTGGGGACACATTGGTCTCTTGATGTTCAAACCTCAGGGGTCAGCCAAGGATTTGGCGTTTGTTGCATATGAGTTTTGGGTTTGGGCCATTGTAGAGCTCAGGCTGCCAGGTTTGAAGCCTAGCTGGACCATCCCCAGCATCTGTGGAAATCTGATCTGGAATTAACAACCCGAATCATCTTAATGGTTTGCAAGCTCTTAGACTTCAGTATCTTGTTTTGCACACAGTTTCTCCTGAGCCCATCCACGTGATCTGGATTACATAGATCTATAAAGGTCTGGATTTATTTCTAGCTCTTGGCAGCATGGGAAGAGAGAAAGGAGTTAATGCTTCTGAGTGGTAAAAGCCCTCCAGTGCTGCACCTTTGCTCATTCTCTTAAGTTACTAGAGAAGGAAAAATGTTTCCCATAGAACAGATTCTTGCTCAGTTTTATTGTTTTGTTAAGGTTCCTTGTCCTCAAATCTCATGCTGGAGGTAAGAGGAGAGAAGCAGCGGTGTAGTTTTGTTTGAGGACTGGCAGACGTGCTGCTACAAGAGAGGGTCATGGGTGAAGCTGTCTCATGCACTTTGGTGTTCCTTCGGTCCAGAAATGATGGTCATGATCAAGAACTGATCAAAGGCATTCATTGGCCATCCTACTGTACCAGGGGCTTTGTCAAGGAGATCTTCGTGACCATACTTGTCCGATGTATGATTCAAAGGGAGCACCAGAGCCAGGGCTGAGCGTGGTTCCTTAGGGATTCATTTTCCTTCTTCCGCAGTGGAGTCAGCCCACGCAGGCTGAAATAATACGTGTGATTTAAAGCAAAACTCTGGAAGCCTGCATGCTCCTGTCCCTTTGTGCTGGAGACCTCTGCCTGGCTCTCTGGAAAGCCTCTCGTTGCCTGGAGCAAAACATGAATATTATATAGAATCCTAGAATCAAAAAATAGGGTTGGAAAGAACCCTGGGGCTGTTCAGCCTGGAGAAGAAAAGGCTGCGCATAGACCTCATAGCAGCCTTCCAGTATCTGAAGGGGGCCTATAGGGATGCTGGGGAGGGACTCTTCAGTAGGGACTGTAGTGACAGGACAAGGGGTAATGGGTTAAAACTTAAGTAGGGGAAGTTTAGATTGGATATAAGTAAGAAGCTCTTTCCTGTTAGGGTGGTGAGGCACTGGAATGGGTTTCCCAGGGAAGTTGTGAATGCTCCATCCCTGTTGGTGTTCAAGGCCAGGCTGGACAGAGCCTTGGGTGATATAGTTTAGTGTGAGGTGTCCCTGCCCATGGCAGGGGGGCTGGAACTGGATGATCTTAAGGTCCTTTCCAACCCGAACTATTCTATGATTCTATGATCTAGTTCCAACCTAAATGTCTCTTCTTCTGTTAAAAGCGCAGCTTTGTGCACTGGGGTTCTCCTTGCTTAGTGGCAAGGATGGTGGTGTCTTCTTCAGAGGGACACTTCTAGATTCTATTTTGCATAGTGGTTTCATGCCCTTGGCTGGAATAATTCTGAGGTGAGGCTGAGGAGAATAAACATCATAGCAGAGGCACTGACCACGCCGCTCAGCAGATTGATGGTGGACTTTATTGAGCAATGGCAGGAACTGGGTATGTCTGAATGAACAGGGGATGAGAAGGCACCAGAGAATGGAAAGACCCTCTGAAAGCAGAGATTGTTGTAATTATATTCTTTAGCCAAAAGGCCCAGAGAGCACTGTAGAATATAGAGAAATTTCTGCTGGAGAAAGAGTCATTGTGTGAAACAGTACCATGGGGTACAGTTTCACTCGAGGACATTTTGGTATTCATGTCCCTGTGGCCGTCAGTGGCTCCTGCAACTGAGACTCTTGGCAGTATCCCACATACCTGTTTCAATAAAATGAAGTTGATTTAGTGACATATAGTTACTAGTTTCCTAAGCTTGTGTGTGATCCTCATTACTCTCCTCTTTCACAAAACCCCTGTTGCTCAGGTTGTATTTTATTTCCCAACACTTTGCCCTATGCATCATAAGTATAGGGTTAAGTTTCAGGATGCCACTGTCTGCACCTTGGAAAGCCACACAAAAAGCTTTCACCTGAGCATTTTTCATTGCTGTTAGTTTTGAGCTGTTTCTTCTCATGTATTTGTGTTCCTCAGTGGGTGATAAGAAAGCAACAGATTTCTGAAGCAGGTATGCAGATGCCATCACAGATTATGGCAGTAATGAGTGATCTGAAATGACAAGTTGTTGAGCTCCCTACTACAGTAGATTATACAGAGTTTTGCCATAACTCTTGGAAAATGGGACTTTTTTGGCTTTCTGCGTTTATTTGAGAACCCATGTCCACACTGGGCAGATGAGCAGGCTTAGCTCCTGGGTTTATCTGTTTGAGCAGTCAAAGTGGATTTACCCAAGCCTCATCTGCTAGCAAAATGTGGATGCATTTGCATTGCAAATGCTGCAGAAGAGATGATACCTGTTTAAAATAAAGAGCAAGCAGCCTTTCCCCCCTGCTGATTCTTCTGGAACTATAATGAAAGCAAAGGCAAGGAAGTGATGGGGTGATGTGGAAATCTGTAAGTGTTGCTGAAAGTGTGGTATAAAGATAGCCCCTAATCCTGGGCTACAGTCGTATGACAGAAAGCTCTGAGTACCTGGCTAAGGATGTAATTAAAAGCATGTTGACTCCATAATTCAGATTAAATGAGCCTCTGCCTGCTGTACAGTGTGTCCTCTTCATATGTGCTGATTACAACGCTGCCAGTGCTCTTGAAATGGGCTAGTGTTTGAACACCCCTCCATATGGTGAGCTCTGCCTTCTGTTCCCTTCCCCTCACTGATGCAAGCACCCGGGGCCAGCCAGCAGAGCTTGGTTCTGCTTGTGCCACTGGATACCCAGATTTCCCCAGTGATCCCAGGACATGGGCTGCGGACATTCCCAACATCTTATTTCTGTTGGTGCAATAGGGATGTTGGGCTTTCCTATGTCTTTACAAAAGAAGCCTGTTGCAGTGGACGCTGTGCTATGCACAGTGCTAAAGGTGGGTGCTCTGGCTGGGGAAACTGGTAGCAGCTCCCCATTACTAGGTTGCACATCACAAGTTAAGACAGACTGTGTTGTTCTCTTGCTGTGAATGGGATTGGAAGTTTTCCTGGAGTACTGCAGAGTCATAGGTACACAACTGAACTGTGATTGGAACGGCTCCTAAAATCCAGGAACTGCTGCTTGTTCATAGGTGTGGGGCTCTCCAGCAGGAGCACAGCACCCTATTTGCTGTGGAGTGGTAATGTGGTTTGTGTCCCCTCTTGGGGATTTTCCTCTCCTCCTCACTATGTATTCCCCCTGCTTTCTGTTTTCCCTCTCTGGTACTTGATCCCTCTTTGAGCTGATAAAACCCAACAGCCCTGCAGGATCCAATAGAGCAGAAAACCACAGATTATTTTTCCTGGAGGAGCTTTATTGAGTGGCATAGCTGATTCAAGTGAAGATGGGACTGTGTAGGGCTAGGATTGCAGAAGCAGGAGATTTCTCTCCCCTTTGATAGCACTAGGATGTTTGGGAGAGTCATTTGCCTCTGCATGTGGAGGTCTGCCCACTTGATCAAGATGAGAAGATGCAGGGGGAGTTCTGCTCTTCCATGTGCTGGGAAGCATACTGGGGGGACTGCCCAAGCCTGATACCTCCCCAGTCACAGACATAAAAAAAGGGGAAAGGGAATTGTGAAAGACCAAAAAGGAACTTAAACACCCTGCTGAAGTCCTGCTGCACCATCATCCGCTCAAAGGATGTATTGTTTTGCTCATAGTAGAGGCCTGCCCTTGACTTTACATCTGTTATAACCATCAGAAGCCATTCTAGCCATGCCAGCCTTGTTCCAGAAAGCTGGGCCACCGCGTTTCCCAGAAACTGGGGTGGCATTTTGTAAGGTTTCCAGTAGAGAGTGGAACAACAGGGAATCCATCACAGGGAATACCACCTTTCTATAGAAAAAGAGATTGGCTACCTCTGGTGGCATCATGGGAACGTTCTGGCTCCAAGTCATGACAAGAAGGGTTGACTCCAGGTGCCTTTTATTTTCCCCTGAAGACAGGGTTGTTTGCTGCTGGGATGTCATGGGGTTTAGCTTCAGTTCTGACCAGAAAATCCCCTGAGATGATCCTGATAAACTTTTTATTGTACTCTGCACATGGTTCTGCAGTTTACATTGAAGAGCGAATCACAGGATCCCAGCCTGGTTTGGGTTGGAAGGGACCTTAAAGCTCCTCCAGCTCCAACCCCTGC